TGAAGAAATGAAGAAAGAGAGAGAGAGAGAGAGAGAGAGAGAGAGAGAGCGAGAGAATGAAGGGATGGAGGGAGGGAGGGAAGAAGGGAGAGAGGCAGGAGGGAGGAAGAAAAGAAAGAAAGAATTCTCAAAACCCAGCAATGTTGGGTGGAGTGATGTGTAAGAAAGCCATTACTTCATTTAACTCTACACAATCCTGTAGCTCTGGGGCAATGCTTAGACTGTTTTCCTGGCTCTATCCATGGATCCTTCACATGGTTTTGTGCCATTCAATCAGACTAGGCCAAGGGAAGCAGGGATGTGTTTTGTCTGCCACATTTGCTGTTCAACTAGCTTCCCGCTTTTAGTCTTCATATTTCATAGCTTTCGGTTTTCATCTGCTCTGCAATCCAGCACTTTTCCCCCAATAGCTGTTTACTCTTAACATTTGTGGGAATTTGTCATGTTTAACTTAGTAGTAGAGCATGTATAAGGTCCAAGGTTTTATCCCCAGCATAAAAGGAAACAACCATAATAATTACATATAAATGTCAGCTGGGAAACTGATGAGCTTAATAAACTGATATCCTAAAAAATATAAGGCCCTTATTTTTAATGTTTTATGAATTTGGGAGAAATTAAATTGACTAAACAAAATTCTTGCCTGAAAACAGCATTAAGGATGTAAAATGGTTCAGAGAAAATATAATTTTATGATAGACATAAGAATAGTGTTATTGTTTAAAAGATTCTCCCTTAAGAACCTAGTTTTAGGGTTGGGGATTTAGTTTAGGGTTCCTTGGTTTGGTTCTCAGATTTGGGGGGGAAACAGGAACAAAACGTTACTTACAAAAATGTTGGGGCGCACAAAAATATTATACCAGTATGTGTGTTTGATAAAAATGTGTTAAACTTGCTAATATCATAGATACTAAATTAAAGTCAGGTAGTACTACGGAACAGAAAAATCTGGAGCAGGTATGCTGGCACATAAAAGCATATTTTTTAAATAAAAACACGATAGTATGTATATTATTTACAAAACAGAAAGACCAAGTTAAAATGATATATGTTGTATGTCAGAGTAAAGCTATTGGATGGTGTCAGGATAGGCTAATAAAGAAGAAGGCAAAAATGAGTTCTATGGGAGCTAAAAAAAATTACTCTTTTGAAATTGTTGAGGCTGAGAAGCAAACAGATTGAGGGCAAGTACTGTCAGAAACCAATCCCACAACATATTAGTCCTAAAGCCAAACTGAAGATGAAAGCATAAAGGATCTTAGATGTGCTCAAGTGACTAGTAAGTAAATGAATGAGTGTGGGAGAGTGTGTATGTATAGGGAGATCCCAGTGTTATGGATATGAGGAAATCTTTGGGGGGGGGTGGTATCAAAACATGACTCATGGTTGCCATAATCAAGCTGAAAGATTTTTCTCGAATATTAAACATATACTTAGAATTTATTTTCAAAATTTCACACCAAATATAATAAAATTCTATAGCAGAAAAATAAAACCATATCTACAATGCTTCCTTAAATGTTATTGGTATCAGTCTTTACTATGTTAAGTTAGCTACACTTACAAATGTCATGTGATCACAACATTTTTAAAATGTGTTATTTTTTTTCTCATGGCAAGTGTCAAAAGTTATTTTAAGCAGGGTAAAGCCAGCTTTTTTTTTTTTATATCTGTAGACACTATTCTCTTTTTGCATGAATTGACAAAGTATGTCATAGTGAGCATCTCATTCCATCCCCATGAAGCAGTTATTTCCATTTCATTTTGTCATTAAAAATAGTTTAGAAAGTTTTTTAATGCTGAGAAAACACTGAGGTTTTCACTAGATTAATCCTGATTTCTGTACAGTGATATTCTGCTAATTCATAAGAAAAATGTAATAATTTATCTAAGTAAAATATTATTTATGAGAGCTTATGCATGTCTTTACTACATAATCACATGATTAATACATGATAAAAAAAGATAATCTGGTTTAAAACTAGCTTTATTTAGCATACTAAATACACAGGAACATAAGAATATTGTATCTACTATAAACATAAAAAGTTAAATATCATAATTTAATGTAAACCAAGCATTTGAAAATGTGAAGTATTGTAATAAAATACATGCTATTTCATAACACTAAGTTAAAACTACCTCTAGTTACTGGATCAGATTATCACTCTTGAAGAAGTTATCATTAGCAATCAACCACTTTTATTGCTCAATAGGAAAAGAAGCCATCATTTTATTTATTTAAAACATATATAATTTACTGTGGCATTTAGAGCAGGGAAGCAAAAATTGCCAGTTCAAGGGTTCCAGACATAAGTACTGCAAGTTAAGGTTTGAAAATCATTCTATTGAAGAAACCATGAGCGGGTCCTTTTATTTAAATATAAACTGCTTAATTCCATTTAATTCCATTTACTTACTAATTAGAAATGTATTAAGTATATTCTGCAAAAATAAATCTTCATTAAAAATGATCAAAGAAAGATGCAGTATCAATCAGGTAGGAAAGGCAAAGCATAAAAATATATATTATTCCAGATAAGTCCCTTAATTATAATAAATGTTAACAAACTCAGTTTATAAAACCAGAAGGGTTAGCAAAGTGGATTTTAAATGGATGAGACCTAAACTGTACTCAAATACAACAAAAATATGTAAAACAAAATTTCATGAAAGTATTTTGATTATTCTCTCATTATCATGGAAAAGCTGCCATGAAATTTATGGTTAGTATAGCTATTATTTACTATGAATAGTATTTTTTCCAATCAAAAATCTAAACAGCTGTCATTAAAACATTTGGTTTTTGAATCACTCATAGTAATACCTCAGTAAAGGAAGTGTTAAATCCAATATTCAGACTTCAAAATATAAAATAGTGTTACAAGAACAAACAAACAAACAAAAAACGAAACGAAAACAAAAATCCTAACTTTTGTTTTTGTTTTTCAAGACAGGGAGGGTTTCTCAGTATTGCTTTGGAGCCTGTCCTAGAACTAGCTCTGTAGACTGGTCTGTCCTCAAACTCACAGAGATCTGCCTCCCTCTCCCTTTCCAGTGTTGGGATTAAAGGTGTGTGCCACCAACACCTGGCTGAACAAAAAATCCTAACTTAGTGACAGGATGTCCTACTTAGCATGTTAGAAATGAACTGAAAAATTAAAGCACTAGCTCACCTAAAATTAAAATAATATATGCTAATACAAATGAACACATTTTTATGAAAAATAGCTATATTTTATTTCTCTAAAAAAAAGATGTATGGAAAGACTGTATTGTTTCCCATTGCTCAACTCTGTTTTGATAGCATTAGAATAAAGACATAAGTAATGTCTTCAGATAGGATAAAAATATTTTGATTTCACAGATTACCTGGAAGTCTGTTAGGGAACTCCCAGGGCCTGTAGGTCACAATTTGAAAACTACTGGTCTCATCTAAAGCCTAATGTTACACACACACACACACACACACACACACACACACACACAAAATAGCCTTAATTTTCAGTTCTAAACAACCCATAACTCCTCTTGCATGTTGAATCAAACATCTTTAACTTTAAATATAATTAGAAAGTAAATATAGTCAGAAAAAATTCAAAGCAATATTGTTGTGCTGAGACCATAACCAAGATATGATATTTCTTCATCTATCAGACCAACTAACTAATTCATGTACTTTCGTGTAATTTCCAGCATTTCATCTTACACTGCATTGACAAATGTACTTAAATTGGAACAGATTTTGTACAGTCCAAATTATGTCAGAAGGTAAGTAATTCCCCATAGATTTAGATTAGGAAATATTAGCTATTAGCTATTTATGGAGCACACTGCTCTATTTCCCATTATGTGAAAACTGTGATCAATTCCACAAAAACAGGGAGAAATGTCCACCTGGAGCACAATAATAATATTGGGGTCTTACACTTGAATAGATCTTCACATTGCACAAATTACTTGTACATACACCATCTCTTGACTTTTTTTAAAAAAGTCTTTTGAAATAGTTTATTTTGGCAGTTCATTCCCAACATATTCCCTCTATTCCAAGGGGAAGAAGTGAAACTACTGTAGCTAAAAAAATAATGTAAAATAAAACATCAACATATGATACTAAATTAGATTAATTGTGCATCTACTATAGCAGATACTGTGTAATCATCTTCCGTCAACAAAGCATCAACAAAAAAGTCACAACTTATAATTGAATGGAAAATTGTGTACTAATAATTTTGAGAATAAGATTTATGTCTGCATAAACATTAAGAAAATAATTTAAAAATTGGTTTTAGCTAAACTCTTGAGTACATGAAGAGTCTATGGTAGCAATGAGAAAATTAAAATTGGTGTAAAAGAAGAAAATGTTGCCTACCTTACATTGGGCAAAGGAGTAGTCAATATCTACTCCCTGTCATTAACACATTCTTTATTCCATTATCTAGAAATTCTTACAAACAGGATAGTAATAATGAGTGGCATGAAACATTCAAAGATGCTCACAAGTTTTAATGGGACAATGTGTGGTAATCAGCCAAGAAGAAAAACCCTAATATAAAATGAGCTAAATGCCACGAATGATCAATGATTTCCTTGCTATATTCTACAATCTCTCCGTCTTTCCGTGTGAGATGTCTCTAAACTTGAGAATAAATCCATGTATGCTTTTTCCTTTCAAGAAAGAAATGGGTGATTAACCAACACCTATAATAATAGTTAGAAAACATTGCATGTTGTTGATTATCACATAAACTGTTGGTGTCCCCCACCTTTTCAATTTTGGTGAATAATGTTGTCTTTATGGGTATGTGGTACGGTACTTGTTAGTTCATCTTACAAGAATTATACACATACTGTTTGATGCACAACACACACCCACACACACACACACACACACACACACACAGCATGTATTTCCTTCATGTTTCCTCTTATAAAAATGAACATGGATAATGTTTTAATAATAAGAAAGAAAATTAAATAAAAATCAACCAGTAAATGTGTAGTGGTATACTGGAAGAGTCTAATAAAATAAGTCAATGCACATTTATGTAGTGGTAAAGTGCTACAAAGTTCTTCTGTTAGTTTGTTACAAATGATTAGAGTAAAAATAGGTTTGCAGCTTCATTTGATGGTGGTGACCACAGGCACCATAGCAATGGCACTAGCTGAGCTAGAGTTGACTATGTCCTCATATTCTGGTGGTGGGTCTAAATGAGGTTCTGTTTCATTCCTTCTCAAGTTCACCTGGCCAGTAGCTTCCTCATAGGTCGGTGGAGGATCACAGTTGGAAAGGCGAGTGGAGACAGAATCTGAGCGCCCAACAACATATTCCAAAAAGCCTGGAGACAAACCACTGTTATCAAAAACTTCATCTGGTGGAGGAGGTGGAGTAATAATGTTAAGGTGCTGAGGGAAAGGAATGTGGCTTTCAGTAACTGTTTGTCTTCGAGTTTTGTTTCTTAGAAAGCATCTCCAGATTAAGAAGATGACAAGTAGAATAATGAAGAGGCCAAAGATTAATGGAAATGTAAGATAAAATTGAAACCAGTCACTTCCTCTATTGGTCTCTCCTTGTTGTGCATTTGTGTAGGTACTCCAAAACTCTTTCTGAAAAATACAAAAAAAAAAAAAAAAAAAAAAAAAAAAGAAAGAAAGAAAGAAAGAAAGAAAAAGAAAAATCAGTATGGTCAAAACATGGTAATTATGAACAAGTACCTATGATCTGATATTGACAAAAACCCAGAATCAGATGTATTGGTTCAAGTGGCAGAGCCTTATTTTCCATACCAGCAAAAATCAAATATAGAAGCCCCTCATTAGAATGGCGTTATTCCCAAAGAAAATAATTATCAATTGAAAACATCATTAATCTGCTGCATTTAATAATATTAACTACTAAGCATTATAGCTTATAGGTAAATACACTGAAGTTTCAGGTCTCTTATGATTGCATGGCTGACAGAGGTAATGAAGAGCTTTAGCTATTTGAGCTGATCACCATCTGTAAAGAGTGATTTACTGACAAGGAAGAGCTAAACATTCAAAAACTGAAATACAGCATCTACTGAATGCATATCTCTTCCACATTACTGCAATATTGAAAAATTTTAAGTGAAGCCATCATTGGTCAGGGATTATCTCTGTATAGATCACCATATTCATTCTGGGTGCTGCCTATAAAAGTTGTAACTCAACGCTCTATAATACTTAAAGTCATTTGGTTTTTTTAGCTGTAGTGTTTTAAAAAATTATGAAAGAGTTATACAGTTGGAAGAGAATCAGAGTATAGCTGTGGTGTTTTAGAGTGGAAATTAAAAGAGTAGGGAGATGGCTCATTAGAAGTGCTTGTGCAAGCAGAAGGACCCAAGTTCAATCTCTAGTATACTATACACAAAGAACATGTACACAGGCATACACATATACAAAGTAAAAGATAATTAAGAACTGTTTTTTTTTTTTCTTTTTTAGAAAATTTCGAATCATATACTCATACAAATATAAGCCAAGGGCTGGGGATGCTTTAGAGTATTGCAATATGGATATGGTTATAAATATAAGCATATATACACCTGTGATTATGAACTATCACCCTCCATATCCATATCTGAGATTTTCACTATACAAGACCCATTGTGATTAATAATACATGCTGGATAAGGCCAGTTAAGGTTTTTTAGTACCCAAACATTCAGCAGACAAGCACTGTGTTTCCTAATGATTCTGTTTAGGAGACACAACAGACATTCCTCCTCCTCATCTACCTTACAAAATGCCATACTTTATACACAGTTGTTAAATGTGAAAAGAAAATGTATTATTCCCACAAAAGATATTGGGGTAGTCTTAAAATTTTGTCCCCATATTCTGGTACCTAGACATTAAATTACAAATGAAAAAATATCCAGTATTTAAAGCATTTAATGTTTGTTGGGATATATTAGAACATAATAAAGGAAACTTCATGTAATTATAAGCTATCATAGTCCCTGATCTTTAATTTCTTGATCTATAAATTGGGGTAATACAAACTGTCTAAACATTAAATGAAATAGCACATGAATATCATGTAATTGAGTTTCTGGTATATAAATTATCAATAGTCATGATTATAATTGATGTTTATGTCTACTTAAGCTTTTGCTTCACTTCATACAGGGACCCCTTTTTAATGTAATTTACTTCCTTGTCTTTATTTTCTTCATTTTTTTTTTTTTTTGTTAGTCACTTTTGTGTTGTCATGGAGAAGAAATTCAAAGAAAAATAATTTAAAAGGAGGAAAGAATGTTTGAGCTTCTGTTTTCAGAGGCTTCAGTTCATTGCCACTGGCTCCATTGAGTGTCACTGGCACTATACTGAAACAGGACATTATAATGACAGGTATGGTGCTAAACAATTTCTTACCTTATGGCATTGAGAAGCAAATAAGAATTGAGGAAAGTATCTACCACTATTTATAGATCCTATGGAGTTCTACCCCATAAAAATTCTGCTAACTTTCCAATAATATGAATTTACCTACAGATCATTCCATTGATTAGGTCAGAACCCTGATGATCCAATCACTTCCTGAAAAAAAGTATACCTGGTGTGTGTGTGTGTGCGTGCGTGTGTGTGTGTGTGTGTGTGTGTGTGAGTGAGTGTGTGTCCATGCCACAGCATACATGTGAAGACAGAGGACAACTTTTAGAATTCAGTTTTCTTCTGTCAAGTGAGTCCTGGATACTGAATTCAGGTTATGAGGCAGTAAGTGTCTTTATCCACATCGTCACCACAGTGTCACCTAATCTTGTCTTTGAGATTAGCTCTACCAGGTAAGGATCAAGTGTTCAACGTGGGAGCCTTCTGAAAGATACTTCATATCTAAATTGTACCTTTTTTGTTCTGATATTTTTAGTATACTTACTACAAATATCTAGAATTTCAAACTCAGATACACCATGGTTTTATAGAATTTACATAAAATATCAAACCTTCAATAAAGGATTCTTGATCTATAAAACTGGATGATTTACAATCTTATACAGCTTCTAAAGTACTTATGGACATAGTAATGATTCAAAGTGATATATTCTCTTAGGTACATGGTTACTGTAAACTTTTGTAATTCTAAGATTAACTTGGATACATTGCGAACAATATATTTACTAATTGTTATATAAATACTCATAATTAATTTCACTTTAAAATCAGAAGGGAGACTGGAATGGTAGTTCAGTGGTTAGGAGCATTTGTTTATCTTACAGAGGAACTGGGTTGGGTTCTTGGTATTCATGTTACCTTAAAGCCTAACCTGACTCTAGTTCCAGGGTACAAGATACATTCTTCTTAATTCTAAGGGCATCACACATAGACATGAAGCACACACATGTGTACAGAGAGAATACATTCATACACATAAAATAAAATAAATACATCTAAAATAGATTTTTAAAAGCCAGGAAGCTGGCTGGACAGTGGTGGCACACCCGCTTAAACCCAGCACTCAGGAGGCAGAGGCAGGCGGATCTCTGTGAGTTCAAGGCTAGTCTGGTCTGCAAGAGCGAGTTCCAGGACAGCTTCCAAAGCCATAGAGAAACCCTGTCTCGAAAGACCAAAAGAAAAACAAACAAACAAACAAAAAAGTAATCAAATCAGGAAGCTGGTGCTGCCACTGGTGCCCATATTGATATGACTGGTCTGTATTGCCACCTGAGGCCAGGGTGATATCCACATCCATGCTGCTGACAAGGACCGTGTCTGGACCTTGGGTTCTGCTATAGCTGAGGTCTGTGGTGATGTCCTAGTCTTGTCTTACCACCAAAGGCTATGTGGATGCCTGTGCTCTGTGTTGCAGCCTAAAGCCATGCTGTATTCTGTGGGCCCTCCTACCTCCAGGAGCCATACTGATCTGGGTGGCCTACACTGCCAACTGAAGTCAAGTTGGTGTCCCTGGTCTGGGCTGTCTCTGGGGGCCTTGTCTGGGTCTGTGGTCCTACTGCAGCTGGGGCTGTGTTGTCACCAGAAAACATGTGGAAGCCAATGACCCATACTCCCACCAAGTGTAAAGAACACTTTTGCAACGATATAGATGATTGCTGAAGCACAGTTGAAAGGGAGGGACAGCGACGGATTCTGTGAAAACCCCTTCCACCCTACCCCCAAAGAAGGGTGACAACCTAAACATAAGACCATTGAAAAGAACTGTTAGGAAGTGTTTTAAGGATGCTGAGGTTGGCTCTTCCCAATTGATGGCTTTTGGCAGGGTAGGGTTGGACAAGGATAATGACTCAGGCTATTTAAATGACAGGCCAGGGAGAGTTTAGTTTGACCTTGCTTCCTACTCCCTTAGATTATCACATCCTCTGTTTCTGTTTTATCTTATCAATGAATACAAATCTGCAAATATGATTTTGAGAAATTACCTGTCACCTAGATAAAAAACAATAAAATGTTTTTCTAATTTTTGCATTCTTTTAATTTATTATTTTACATGTCAATCCCAGTTCCCTCCCCCTCCCTCCCCCTCCCTCCCTTTTACCCTCTCTTCCCTCTCACATGCACCCTGACCACAATCCCCTCCCATTCCCCCACCCCAATTCTACATGTAGGGCAATGTCATACAGGTGGGGGTCATATAGATCTGTCAGGTCATTTGAAGTAGGGACTAGGACTTCTCTTCTGTCTCTATGTTAAGGCAATATCCCTCCATGGGGGATGTATTCGCAAGGTCCTTTTGTGTACCAGAGATACATCCTGGTTCCACTGTCTGAGGTCCCTTAGACTGCTCAGTCCTTCTGGCTGAGACCCATATTCAGGGGGGGGGCTGAGTCAGTCCCATGCTGGATTCCCAGTTATCAGTCAACTGTCTCTATGTGTTTCTGCAATCTTGTCTTGTCTTCTCCGTCTGCATCAGTGTTTATGTATGGGTGTTTGCTTCTGTTTCCAACAGGAATTAGATGAGGGATGCATAAGTTAGGCATTTATGGTAGCCTTTCCACAGATGCTCCAATTGTTAGTTGGCGGCAGTCTTGTAGTTCTCTAGACCTTTCTCTAGGTTCAGTTTTCTCTTCAAACCAATATTGGCTCCCTCTTTTAATCTCTCTCTCTCTCTCTCTCTCTCTCTCTCTCTCTCTCTCTCTCTCTCTCTCTCTCTCTCTCTTCTTCCCTGTCTTCTATTCCTACCCTGACTCAATCTTCCTAGTCACACGTGATTTCCCCTCTTCCACTTCTCTTTCTCCTACTTCTCTCTCCATTCACTGCTCCTCCCCACTTCCCCTGTGCTCTGGGGCACTTGTCCCTTCCCCCTTCTGTGAGGGACATCGTATGAATCTCTTAGAATACACCTTGTATCCTACTTCCTCTGGTGGTATGAATTATAGGCTGTTGATCCTTTGCTCTAGGTCTAAAATCCATATAAGAGCAAGTACATACCTTGTTCCTCTTTTTGTGACTGGGTTACCTCATTCAGGATGTTTCCTTCAATTGTCATCCACTTGCCTGCGAATTTCAAGATTCCATTATTTTATTTTCTGCAGAGTAGTATTCCACTGTGTACATGTGCCATATCTTCTTTATCCATTCTTCAATTGAGGGCCATCTAGGATGCTTCCAGGTTCTTGCTATTACAA